CCTAATGAAGCACTGTTAATTTGGGGAAGGGATCATATTTGATTGAAACCTTTGCATCACCTATAAAAGCTAAGATGACTAAACAGGAAGTATTTCATTTTGAGTTTTACTGTGTGATTTGATACTTCACCTATCCCCAGGCAATGTCTTGCTGAAAAGACATCAGCAAGGAAACAGAAGCCCTCCACCACCACCACCCCTTTCTTTTTAAAGGTGCTCTATAAAAAGAATTTTGTTTTAAATGGATGATGTTTTTAATTTGGGGCTATGGTAGTTTGTAAAATTAAACTTTATGGAAATACTTCATTTGTCTTTAATTTTTTTTCACTAACGCCTGTTCTTCAACCATTAACTAGTCCCAATAGTTTTCAATCTTTTCAACAGTAATAACCTGAGACTGGGCTCCTGATCTTGCAAACACTTTTAGATGTGATTAGGCCCATTGACTTCTCATAAGACTACCTTCCACTGTTTATGCCCGATTTGTTGCTTGCATTTCTCTCCGTAATCTGTGCTTTTAAAAGTCTAATCTGCAGTGTTGTTAGCAGTATAAGTAAAGCCTTCCAACTGAATTTTCTATGTTTAAAGGGAATTATATATAAAAATGTCCTCTGAAACAAACTATCGGAGTAGAGGGTGGTATTGAGAAGCAAACTGCATCAAGGGTTTGATCATCCTTTAAACAGTAGCTGCATCTCCTGGGAAGATTAGGTTGTTTCCATGAGTCATATGTCTGTGCCTTCTACTCTGCTGTGGAGAAAAGTATAAAGCCACAGAACCTTCATACCAGAAAAGTGTCAAGTCTCTATACAACCATTTTTTAATATTTATGTACATGCTAGTTATTGATTGTTTAATCTTTTGAAGATCCTTAGGACTGGCCTATTCTTTCTTCAGCATTTTTAAGGCCTGTTTCTAGTAGCAGTAGACAATATGTCTGTGAAAGTGAAAGTTATTCAGATATAACAGAACTGTTTTGGTTTTTATATAATTAAATAGGTGCCACTCTTTGTAAAGCAAAAGGTGGGGCAAATGCTTTAGCCCAAGCCTATTAAAGGATTTCATTGTTAGAGAGGTTTTGCACTGCAGTAGCAAAATTGAAATATGAATCACGTGTCCAGAGGCCAAATTATCTGCTGCTGTAACTCCACTATCTATAAATGTTAGTTCCACATGAGGGAACAGCTCACTGTGCAAGGAGTTCATCTATTGTACTGTGCTAGAGTTGTTCACTATAGTAAATACACTGCTGTTTTACTATCAGAACCAGCTGGAATGGTTTGAACTCCAGAAACATCACAATGGAGTAGTTTTATTACCATGTTTAGTGTTTGATTTCCCAGTAGCCTGACGCACCCAGCTCATGAAGTAATCGCTGAAGGCGAACCTGAAGGCTTTCCTGGAGAGGTGTAGAGTCCGGGGGCTTTTTCACATCCCCTCTGGACTCCAATAGCTGGACTTGTGACCAGACCAGGATAGCCTAAATCCTTTAGGCCATCCTGCCCCAGCTAAGGAAAAAGATTAGTAATTCAGTACCTTTCTGCTCTAAACACATTTTAAAATAGGCCAAAATGGATGGGAAAGAGGCAGACTGAAATTCATAATGCTACCACTAACAATGTAGGAAAAGATTCACAGTCCATGATTCTGGCTCTTTTCTGCTGTGAAGACTGGAGACCTGTTCCTAGACATTTTTCACTTGAAATAATGAAGGGGAAAGATTAAAAGTGTCTAGTCCTGCTGGCCTGAAAGCTTGTGTATTAATAAAATGGTGAAATAAAAATGGTATAGCTCACCTATTGTGCTACCACAGAACTAAAGTCTCTCAGTTACTTCTGGTGCACTCCAGAGCCAAGACTTTCTGGAATATGCACAAGATACTTCAGCAGGCAATCGGCACCAGTTTTAAGAGGAAGTTACATTAATTTAATTTACTCAAGTTATGTTAACCATTACAAAATTTATTTAACAAAAATAAGTTTACATGAGGAATGTACAGTTCCTGAAGACTCCTCATTCGTTAACAAGACAGCTGGAGTTAAGGGGAGGTTTATCACAGCACTAGGCAGGAGTTCACTGGTTAATCTATACTCGTTCCAAGGCTTCTAACATAATGATGCTGTTTCCTCGTATTACCTAAAAATAAGGAATATAAAAAGATTAGAATTCTTTCGCAACCAATGTGGTTTAGCAGAACTAGAGATGGGACAAAGATCAGAAGTATTTAATGCTAGCAAACAACCCAGCTAGGAAGTAGTCTACAGCATGTATATTTCTCCAGATTAGCTCTTCTAGAAAGATGAACAGCAATTAACTTTGACTCATAAACCTCCCAGAGATTATTCAGTGACAAGTATGGTGTGGACTATCTAGTTTCCTAGAATTCACCTGGTTCAGGCACATTTGCTAGAAAATAGTGCTCATCAAGATACTGGAATTATGGCAACAGGTGGGGACTGGGGAAAGAGTCTGAAATAAGGAACCCCCCCCACCACCACACACACACACACTCGAAAAACGTTTCAACCCATACCATCCAATAGGGGTGAAAACTCTCTACTTACCACCATCCCTATAGTGTTCTGTTGTCCACCTTGTGCCATCTCCACACACTCGTCTATCACTAGATTCATGAAGGGGTCAAACCCTCGCAATATCCCTTGGACATGTCGGCCACCATTTAATTTCACTAGAAGAAATATTTGGCAAATAATTAAAAAAAAAAAAAAGCTACTGGCACGCAGCTGTAGTATTTAGCTTTCTTGGTTAGAAAGTGTTACCTTTGAGTCGGGAGCTTCAGAACCATCTTTTAATGCTATGACGGTTTGAAACCTAGGCATACTGCATGTGAATGGACCATTGCTTACTAGAACTAGTATTCCCTATTCCACGGGCTTCATATACAAAAATGCAGTATAATAATGAGGAAGTCTGGATGGTGGTCAATATTAGCAGACTGTAGGCTGATATCACACATAGTACCCCTCAAAATGCAGGAATAAAGTTACATTAGAGCTTCATAGTGGTTAGGCATTTAGTGTGCTGGTGATTGTTCTTCTGCATTCCTGTTATCCTTGGGGACTGTTTTTGTACCATCCTTGATATAAGGATGTTTGCGTGAGTACACAGTGACTAGCACTTCTTAGGAATGTGCATTTCTGCAATATCATCCCTGTTCTTGCCAGATTCTGTGCGCAGGTCCTGCCTCATACCAGGCTTCTAATACAAGGGCTTATGTCTCAGGCTCTCTTCCTGCTACCATGGGAACTTTAAAACGACAGCGATGCTCAGAATAAATCTAGGCGCATAAAGAACTCACGTGACAGCTTCTTGTCCATGAATCTGAAAGGCATAAGGGGGAAGAGCCGCACGTTAGCAGGGCAGAAAGACGGTACGCATTAACGCAGAACACGAACGGCGCGGCCCATCGGCCCGCTCCCGGGCATCCCGCTGGCGTGCACGCAGGTGTCACGCCATGGTCAATGTACCGGCTCAGTGCGGGGCTCTCTGGGCACGGTACCCCGGCCCGGCAGCCTGACCACGGGCCAACAGCGCACTGCTACTCTGCGTGTATTGGGGGGGGGGGGGCACAGAGACGTGAGTCAAGCTCTGCTCTGGGGCACCCAGCCTGATGTCACCCAGAATGGGGGGGGGGGGGTCCCTACGCACGTGCCCCTTGCCAGGGTGGATGGGGCGGGGCTGCCCCAGGGCCCTACCCGAGGTGGCACCACGTGCCCAGCACGAGGGGGGGCGGGGGAGGAGTTACCCCAGAGGGGGGGTCTCGCCCGCCCCGCGCAGAGAGGCCCCGCTGGGCAGCGCGGTGCATGCCGGGACACAGGGGGCAGGAGGCCATAAAGGTGGGTCCTACTGAAATTCTGGCCCAGGGGCTACCCCCCCCCCGCTCGCTCCACATCCCCCGCGGGGCGATCGCCGCCGCCGCCGCCGCCCCCCGGCCGCACTCACTTCTTCAGCTCGGGCGGGTGCGCTTTACTCATGGTGCCGCCTCAGTCAGCCCCGCCACAACCGCCTGGCGCTCCTCCGCACGGCTCCGGCGCTGGCGTCACCCCGTCCGCGGCTCAGCGACCAATCAGGGATTACGCCGAGGCCGCGGGCCTGCCCGCTTTCAGCCAATCAACAGTAGCGCCGGGAGCGCATGCGTATGACTTCAAATCACTGACCCAATCAGCGTGATCGCCGGTATCGCCTGCGGGTGACCTCACTGACCCGCCAGCCAATTGCGGGCCGTGCCGCTTCCTCCCGGCAGCGCCACGGGGAGGCCACGCGACTCACTTCCCCCGTATTCCTCAGAAGAGCGGCCCTATCTAGGTAGCGGCAGCTCGGGAGCAAGATGGTTGCAGAACGGGCACTGAGAGCGGATGACAAGCCCAATTCCCCACCCGGAGCCGCCCGCAGCGCGCTTGCCGGGGCACACTGACGCGCCAAAAATATCGATGCGCGGCTCCCCGCGGCAATACGACCCTGCTCGTCCCATTTAGTGGGACGCTTACAGCAGATTAGCACCAGGGACAACGTTTAGATGCAAATTCGGGTCCCGCTCTGATTTCCAGGGGACCACTTTTGAAGGAAGTGGTGAATCAGAAATTCCAACGCAGGAGAAACTTTCCCTACCTTTGCTGCCAGCCCTTTCATGACTCTAGGTTACATCCCCTTTCCCCTGTCTTGTCTATTTCGCTCGTAAGCTCTTTGGGGAAGGGGCTCCCCACTTTTCTGCTGGCAAAGCCCCTAGCACCCCCGAGCTCCATTGTGCCTTGCCCCCCGGAAGGCGCGAAACAGCCTTACAGATAAGCTTGCCCTCTGGCTCCCAAGCAGCGAGTTGGAACGAGAGCTGGTTTCAACGTTAGCCGTGAAACCCACGAGCTCCGATACAAAATGAAGCGCTGGAGAGAGGAAAACGCGCTAGAACACGTACAGTCAAAATCCAGCACTTCTCGCAGCGGAGCCACGCCAAGCCTTGTCGTAAGTAAAAATACGGAGGAAGCTGTCATCTAACATTTATTTTTGAATCAAACTTTCGGAAAATAAATCAGTTTTTAAAAGGACAGAACAAAATGGTTGTGTTCATTATAGCTGTACGCAACAGGTCATTCAGCTCACAATAAATAGAACCATCCTAAGATACTCGCTACCGTGTCTCCAGCCACAAGGACAGGACAAGGTGGTGCTGCCGTTTACCGGATGTCGTTTCCCCTTTTTATTTTGGCGGTGATCATCTCTCTGTATTGTGCTCATTTACCTTGAGGACCACAGATTCAGAACTGTCTCCTCCTGCAGCTGAGTAGCTCCACAGCTGAGGCAGCCAGTAATGCTGCTCCATGACTCACGCCTTGCCCCAGCATTCAAGCCAACCTCCTCTGCATTGCTCCCTCTCCCCGCTGCTCCGGGGAGGAACAAGATGTGAAATCCACCTCAAGCCTGCACTGCAGCATCCTGAAGAATCTGATTGTGCACTGATTTACGCTGCTGTAAATCCAATACTTTAGCAGAAAAACTGATTTATACCAGGATGAGGGAGAACAGAGACAGACTCTCTGTGTGTTTAATTAGGAATATCAGGTCAAAAAGGAGGACAGAATCCTTAAACCTTAAATCTTTAATTTTAATATTAAAACCTTCAGTGGTTGTTTTGCAGAGGCTCAGGTGAGGACAGTTATTTATGCCACACTGCATGGAACAATGTACCTGGTATAACTCTTAAAGACAGACTTCAGGCCCAACGCTGCTGTTCCTTACACCGCTATAAATCAGGAGTAACTCCACTAAAGCCAATAGAGTCATACTGGTGTAAAACCATCAGGAGTGGATCATTAAGTGGTATTGGCCATCCCTTTTCAACAGAGCATGCTACTTCTTGTGAATCATTGCTCCAGAGAACCCATACTGGGCTGGATGACCTTGCTCTCTTAGTAGAATTAGACACTGCAGGGTTGGTGGCCTGATAAAGACAAGGGGCTGATTCTCCACTCAGTCACGCTGGGTTTACACACAGGCATATCTCCATTTATTCCAGTAGCATTACTCCTGATTTATACCAGTGTGAGTGGCAGTAGAGGCTGAAGATGTTTTAACTGCAGAGACTTGACCAACCAATGCAAAAATGTTCTCCCTGATTCCTGGTGGAAGAAACATTGTAAGAGAAACAGACTTATTATCTAATACATTGCACACGCTCCCTTTTGCATTGTTTCTTCCACGGCAAAAGAAATCTGCACAAGAGGGACCTGTCAGTGCTAGACGGTAAGTTCTGCAGATGTGAGAGCAGCTGAGGAGGAGAAAATCCTGTCCCCAAAGCATTTTTTTGTAATCACAACAGGCTGGAGAACAAGTGAGGCAGGAATACTGGCCCTTTGAACTCTAGGGCATCAGTTCAAACCCAACCCAGTGATAGTTTCACTTCAAATCCTCCTAGCCCATCACATCACCACCATCAAAAGGACACAGAGACTGGCCTTTTGGAGCCAGATCCTCAGTGGGTTTACACTGGCAAAGCTCCACTGTCACTAATGGGGCTACACTGATTTACATCTGCTGAGAACCTGGCCCTTAACTCCTGCAGGGCACTATTGAGGAATATTGGTTAGGCAGCACTGGGGAAGCTTGCATTGCTGTTACCCCTGTCTTAGGGACAAAGGCCCCTCAGGCTCCGGGCCTGTCAAACTGGTGCCTTCCAGCAGGCCTAAATTCAGAGGGAAGTCAAGGTCAGTGGAGGACACTGCTATTATCAGCATGATGTGTACATACCATTAACCCTTTGAGAACTGGGGTCTGTCCTCTCCACAACTGGTGACATCCCTCAAATCAGCCCCAGACCACCAAGCCCTTAAACCAAACCAGCTCTCGAATGGACAACTGCAATACTTGGAAAATACAAAAATCACCCTAATCATCCATTTTCATTCCTCAATTTCCAACACGAATCTCCGTGTACACGTCTCTCTTTTAATAGGAACTACACTTCTCCCTCTCTCTCCCCAAACAGACGCAGCTTTATTGTGCAATGGCTGCCAAAGTCTCCTTCATTTTCTTGGTCATGCTGGGGATGAGATGCACGTGATCGTCAACGCACTTCGTCACGCAGCTCTCCAGCTGTTGTTTCACCTCCTGCTCCTTGCTCCCTGAATCCAGGGAATCTTTGGCTTTGTCATTACAGTGCATCGTGCAGCGAGCCAAACGGTCCTGCAAATGAGAATTCCGGACAGTTAGAGTTCACGCAGCTGCGAGCAAAATGCATTGGGTGGTGTAGTAGCTGGACAAACGAGCTCTTATCCACTTCTTAGATGGCAGGCCTCATGCCTTTGGCCACAGAACACAATTATTTGTAATGGAGGGGATGGATGGAAGAAGAACGAAGCTTGCTGCAAGCTCGAAGTTTACCACCATTTGCAACGAGACCTCCAAAGTCATTTTGCTATGTGGTGGTCTACATGCAATAAGTCGGGCAGGGTGTCTCAGCCTAGCTCATTGGTTCCAAGGCCAGAAGGGACCACTGTGATCATCTAGTCTGAGAGAACTCCCCAAAATAATTCCTAGAGCAGAGCTTTCTGCAAAACAACCAATCTCGGTTTAAAATTGCCAGTGATCCATCAGAACTGGAATGCGTTACCTAGGGAGGTGGTGGAATCTCCTTCCTTAGAAGTTTTTAAGGTCAGGCTTGACAAAGCCTTGGCTGGGATGATTTAGTTGGGGATCGGTACTGCTTTGAGCAGGGAGTTGGACTAGATGACCTCCTGAGGTCCCTTCCAACCCTGATCTTCTATGATTCTAACTCTTGGTAAGTTGTTCCAGTGGTTAATTACTCTGTTCCACATGGCCAGCAGTTTACACTGAGACCAAGGACTGAATGATGTGTATTTGACACAGGGCATTTCACCTCTAGGTCATCAGTATTAACCAAGCTCAGGTCAGCAGCAGCTTAGAGATGATGCGATGGCTGCTTGGGGGGTCTCAGCCCAGATTCTAGTAGGCATCTCCCCTGCATAATAAAAGCTGCAACACAGCTGGGACCCCTATTGAGGTTGTCAGGAGAGAGGCCCTTGAAGATTACATTGTTCTTTTGACCCCCAAATGCCATCCTTCTGAAGCAGGACGGAGTCAAATTCAGTGTGTGACAAAGAGAGAAAGGACGGTCCCGGGGTTAAAACTTGGGAGACCTGAGTTTAAGTCCCTGCTTGGCCACAGCCGTCCTGTGTGATCTTGGGCGAACAATACTGACTCTGTGAACTGAGAACAGCACTGCCCTACCTCCCCGGGTGTTGTGAAGGTAATTACAGACCGTGTGAACAAGACTGCGAAGCTCTCAGATACATTGGTAAGGGGGGGGGGGGGGCATCAAGCCTTGTGTTGCACAGTGAGCCTGGATTTAACGCAGAGCAGAACCCTGAGTATCCGATACCCCCCTCCCTCAAAGTCGTCTCTTCTCCAAAATGAGATGCCCCGTTCATGTTACCAACTCCCTGCTTGGGTACATCCCCTTTTGTCCGGGTTACTTTTGCAACGGGGTTTGGCCCAGCACTGGCTCGCCCCACACCCGGGTGCATCCACGGCAAACCTCTGCGCCCGGCTTGAGACTAAGCCGGGATCAGATTCCGTGGGGAGCTGGGGCCCGAGAGACCGCCGCCGCCGATGCTATTTCTCTACGGGAACGCCAGGGCTCGCCCGCACCGGGGTCCACCGGTCGCTTTCTCCTCACCTGGAACCTCTCCAGCTCTTTGGTGACGACTGCCTGGGCCTGGGCCAGGGGCGCATGGCAGCGCTCGATGCAGTGGTGCACCTGCTGCATGGAGGCCAGGTCGTTCTCGCAGCAGTCGGCGCTGCACCGAAACATGTTACCCTGCCAAGGGCGGGAAAGAAAGCTGGCTTTTCCAAAGCCGTCGCCTGTAGCAACGCACATCTGAACCCCCCCGCAATACACCTGTCCCTTTCAGTGGGGGGCCCTGTGCAGAGAGTGCTGACCTCCCACAACCACCTGGGCTTTGCAGAACAGCCTGACTTTGACCCCCCCCCCCCAACTCTCCTTGAGAGTAGCCCTGACCCACCCCCACCGCGGTGCGGGGCCCAGAGCCCTGCGCACAGAGGGGCCCAGATCCCTGCGCACACACACACGCTCCAGTAGGCATGGGGGCAGAGCTCACTGACCCCTTCCCCCCCTTCACTAAGGGTCCAGGGCCCCTCTACAGACACACCCACAAGGAGGGGGGGGGGGGGCTAGGCTCACAGGTTTGCTCCCCGCATGGCCAGAGGAGCCCGGGCCCGCATTGCAATGAGTCAGAAAGCAGGGTACTGCTGGGGGGGGGGGGGGGGGGCAGAGGAGCAGGTAGATGGGGGGGGGGCTGGCAGCACAGAAGAGGGGGGGCCGGGGGGCTAGGCTCACGGGTTTGCTCCCCGCATGGCCAGGGGGGCCCGGGCCCGCATTGCAATGGGTCAGAAAGCAGGGTACTGCTGGGGGTGGGGGGGGAGAGGAGCAGGTAGATGGGGGGGCTGGCAGCACAGAAGAGGGGGGGCCCGGGAGGGGGGGGGCTAGGCTCACGGGTTTGCTCCCCGCATGGCCAGGGGGGCCCGGGCCCGCATTGCAATGGGTCAGAAAGCAGGGTACTGCGGGGGGGGGGAGAGGAGCAGGTAGATGGGGTGGGGCTGCAGCACAGAAGAGGGGGCCTGCGGGAGGGGCCTGCGGGAGGGGCCGGCGGGGACCCCCTCCCCGTTACCTGCATCTTGCGGATGTTCTCCCGCTCCAGCCCCTGCACCATGCTGTCGATGGCCTCCTGCATCCTGCTCTGCGGAGCCTCGGCCATGCCGCCCGCGCCCACATGGGCCGCAGGACCCCGGCCGCCGCGCGCGCGCTCACTTCCCGGGTCAGCGCTCCCCGGGGGGGGGGCCAAGCCGGCTGCGCCGAACAGCGGCCCCTGCTGCCCGGCGGCGCGCACTGCAGGCCTGGGGCGCCCGCCCCGGCTGAGAGCGGCCGGCGCAGAGCAGGGCCTGCGGGGAGATAGATCATAGAATCTCAGGGTTGGAAGGGACCTCAGGAGATCATCTAGTCCAACCCCCTGCTTAAAGCAGGGTCAATCCCCAATTTCCCCCCCCCAGATCCTTAAATGGCCCCCTCAAGGATTGAACTCACAACCCTGGGTTTAGCAGACCAATGCTCAAACCACTGGGGACTCTGCTCCCGCTGCCCGGTGGGGCCGCGGTCTCTGGCCGGGCTGGAGTGGAGGGAGTCGCACGGTGCGCGGCTGCTCGCCGAGGGGAGCACCAGCCAGCCCTTGGGGAAGGACGTCTCCCGCCACAGGGGTGGAGGTGTCTTGCGTGCTGGAGGGCAGGGAAGGGGAGCCTTGACAATGGCCCTGTCGAACCAATATGCACCCTGATCTGGGGGCGCCTTCAGGGCGTCCCCGGGGGGGTTCCTCGCCCCCCAGCCAGCCCCTGCATGTAGCAAAGCCCTTGGTGGAAGGGAAGGAGCAAGGGCGAGAGCAGCCTGCTGGTGATCCAAGGGGGAGCTGGTTAGGAATTGTCCCATGGCAGAAGCAGTTTAGCCGGAAAAGGGCAATTCATTAAACCATAAATGTCTGATGGAAACAACTGCTCGTGCAAAGGGAGCGTGCAAGATGCCCTGCCCCCCCCCCCCCCCCCCCGCGGCACACGGCGGTTGTGCATGGTGACTGCCCAGTGAGGAGGGACAGTGTGAGCAGAAGCTCTTGCGTTTGAGACCTGTTGGCTGTGCAGGAGGTCAGACTAGATCATAATGGTTCCTTCTGAGCTAAATATCTATGAAAAACTCAAGCAGGACACTGCACAGAGCACCGTGTTGCTGCCCTTTGGAGAGAGAGGGAGCCTAAAGCTAGATACAGATTCACAGCGAGCGACTGAGAAACCGCTGGGTTTCCATCTCCAGTCAGTGCCATGCGCCGCATAAATAAGTAAAGAGCAGCTATTAATCTTAGCATGGCTTAAGCACATCCGAGGTGACAGAAACCTCCCCCCCCCCCATCTGTGGGAAACCCCAAAGCAGGGGTGGCTAACGTCTGGCTCCAGAGACACATGCGGCTCCTTGTGCAGTCACCAACTTTCCAATGTGCCGGGGGGGCACCCACTGCTCAACCCCTGGCTCTGCCCCAGGCCCTGTCCCCACTCCACCCCTTTCCACTCGCTTCTCTCCCTCCCCCCTCCCCCCCAGAGCCTCCTGCACACCACGAAACAGCTGATTGGGAGGCGCTGGGAGGGAGGGGGAGGTGCTGATTGCCGGGGCTGCCAGTGGGTAGGAGGCTAGGGTGACCAGATGCCCCGATTTTATTAGGGACAGTCCTGATTTTGGGGGCTTTTTCTTATATAGGCTCCTATTACCCCCCACCCCGTGTCCCGATTTTTTACACTTGCTATCTGGTCACCTTATGGGAGGCTCTGGGAGTGGCGGGATGGGGGGGGGAACGGATGGGAGGCTGCTGACATATTACCGTGGCTCTGTACATTGGTAAATTCTGGCTCCTTCTCAGGCTCAGGTTGACCACCCCTGCCCCAAAGTGTCACAGTTGTCAATGGCCGGGTTCAGACTGCAGACTTCTGTCTCTACAAGCATGCGCCTCTGATAATGAGCTAAAAGATTCACCTTTGTTAGCAAGAAGCAGGCTCAAAGCTCTGTGTGGTCCAGACACTAGGGGAAGACAGAGAGCTACACTACGTCTGCATGGGTTACAACCGTTACACTAAGGAATATTATGAGCAGGGATCACAAAGGAAATTACCCAGACAACGTTCATCCTGGAAGGGGTGGGAAAATAACCTCAGGTGGCGAGCTCAGTGTGTGCTCTGTCCCAGACCCCTGGAAAGAAGCATTGCATTCCTGGAGAAAATATTCCCTTGCATTCAAACTCAATGAAACTAGAAAGAGAAAGATCTGTCCCATGCTTCATCATGGGGTGAGGGGCATTTCTAAAGAATGGAAATTCTCCGCGTTTCTTCAGAGCAGCCAAAACAATGAATGTCAGCCCTCTGGTCAGGAAGGAAGCTGCCTCTTTCTAGAAAAGGTTTGGGGCTCCAGTTCCACAGAACAGCAGGAAATGTCTTTGCTTCCGCACGCAGATCTATTAATAGCGGTTTTGTTCCCATTGCAGCGTTTTGGTGGGCTGCTGGCCGGGCACGTAGGAGTGGGAAGAGAACAATGAAAACAAGCAGCCCCAAACATTGAGCTAGCAGCCTAAACATGGGGTAGAGGGACTGGGTCAGTGGAGATGGCCTCATGGTCTACAGCTCAGAGGCTAGAAGGGCTACGTGGTAGGGATGGCTTCAGCAGGAGTTCCCAAACTGTGGGATGCAAACTTGATGTTCCAGGCATTCACTTCACACCATTTTTAAGGTGGTGGTACCTGAACCAATCAAGTCTGGGAGCCACAACGGTCTGAACCTCCATGGATGGCCTGGTGGCGATGACCTAATAGCCCAGCCCTCAGTGGATAGGGGACAGCCTGGTAGTCCAACCCTCAGGTGCCTAATACCTGGACTGCCTAGAACCACGGGTTCCAATCCAAGCAGTATCAGCTCAGCCCTTCGGCCCACCAAGGTAAATGAACTAAATTCCACGCCGTTTAGCTACGTGCATGTGCCTTTCACAGAGGCTCTGGGCAGACACGGAAGCCCCCAGTTCATTCCAGTGTTTGCCTGGGTGTCCTTCGCCTAAAATTCCCCCCACCCCTGCCATTGACAACTGTGACGCTTTGAGTAGGGCTCTGGGCTGCAGTTGGTGGCTACCCTCTGCCTGTGCCGTATACTCCTCGGGCTGGCCCTCTGGAAGGGGGGAGTTTCATGCTGGGTGCACAATGTTCTCTGCCTACAGCAGCTGGGTTAAATGAGTTTTCTGGGAGTGGTAATGAACGCTTCCCTTCTGCCCCCACCCAAGTCCCCACCTTTATCTGAGTCTCTCCCTTCCTTGTCACCCTCCTGCTCTTCTAATGATCTTGATCAATGAGCAGACCTTGCTCACTGGCTCTTGCTTGAGGGGTGACATCCCTTATCCTCACTGAGGGCTGGGTGCTCTGGGGATGGTGAATGGAGGATGACTGAATGACAGCCCCTGACTGTCCTCTGAGGTCAGTCAATGCACCGAGCAGCAATAAAGGAAGGGTACAGTCAGAGAGATGCCATCCCCATCTCATGGCCCTTTGGTGGGTTATGTCAGCTGAGTGGGTCATTCTCAGGCCACTGTGTCATGCAGGCTCACTAGTGTGTTAAACAAGCATCTACAGCACAAAACCACCATCACACATAGCACTAGATGGCGAACTCATCTCAGAGCCTACAGACCAAATGGACCATGGAGACCAAAGCACCCGCTGTGAGCTCCCCTCACACCCACTACTAACCCAATAAACCATTAATTGGGTCTTTTCTACTTCCCAAGGCCAGAAATTAAGCTACCTTAGACCAACCGGTGCTTAAATTGTCTCTGGTTATGAAATGACTTGATCACTCACGTTGTAATAGAAAGAATAAATTAGCATCAGCAGCAAGAGGCCTGAGAAATGCATCGGAATACAAGACTTCCTGGGGGAATTCTTTGAAGATGAACTGTTGTTCTCGTTTCCAGAACCCCAGGGTCATGCGGTGGCAAAGAATAAAGGAACTTCAAATTCCAACATGTTTACGTAGCGTCAGCGTCTTTAATTCCAGCTGCTTCATCGGATGTTATGGAGCTGTTTGAAGTGAGGGATTTCAACATGTCTCACTCGCCAATTCAAAGAAGAGAAAGACAGGCCAGACCAGACCACCACAACTGCTACGATGGCCCATGCATGATGCAAGGAGCATGCATGGAATATGCAAGAATGGCCCACCCGAGGCATGGGCCGTATATTAAACCTTAAATAACTGAGCCTTGCACCATCAGTTTTATTTGTATGGAGGGAGGGAGAGACTGTCAGGGAGATGAATTGTTCTAAGAGCTTTATAATGACGAACCCAAAGGAGTATGTTTAGATGTCATTGACAGTTGCAAAATAGGTGAGCATACCTGTTGCATGCCTGATACGTGCGTTTGTCGGGCCCCGTGAGCTCCTAGGTGTGCAAGGATCCATTCAAAGACACCCAGTGTGTGTGAACCTCTTGTGGCCACCACTTGCGTGCCCATGGTTTCAACTGTGACCTGGAAAGATCCCCTCTGTGTTCTGAACGTAGAGCTCCCACCCCCAAGATTGGCTGTAAGTGCGAGGGGCTCGACCTTCCCAACTGGAGTCCTGTTGCTGGCTGGTTTCCTGTCACGTCATTGGAAACAGCCAGGCTGTGCCAAACAGACCCACTTCCTGCCCCAGGCCAACAAGATCCACCCTTCCATTAAAACCCAACTAGAACACGGCCCCACCCTGCTGACTACGGTACTGCTTGTACAGTAATGTCCAGGCCCAGGGTTAATGGCTGCCGTGCATTGGACTGAAGGAAAGCCATTGCTTGCACGGGAGACATTTTTAAAATGGCTGAGATCTGACCTTCCTTTTAGCAGGTACAATGGACCAGGTTTTCAGAAGATCCGAGCCCCTATAACTTCCAGTGGCTTCAACTGGAGCGGGGGTGCTCGGTACCTTTGAAAACCAGCCTTGAGATGCACCAACTATTTGCACACATGGCTGGAAAGCTGAGTACTTGTGCCTCCAGCTACCTAACTTGCACCCACTGTCAGGCAATTTGGTCCTTACAGCAGGTGCCAAAACATTGGAGCAAAAGGACAGAAGCCGTTTGAAAAATGCATCCCTCAAGAGAGTGTCATCAGGGAAATATGGAGCCCAGAAGAGGCATAAGGCATTCAAGGCAGAGATGGACATGGGTTGAACACAGAACAGCGTAACCCCAATAAAGACACATCTGCAAAGTTTGATTCATTGGTGCTACTGCC